AATGGGGGGGGGAGATCCTGCAGGAAGGAAGAGCCCATTCAGGTCAGGGGGGGGAGAATAAGGGTGGGAGGGGCTTGGGGGGGAGGCAACGAGGCTGGAATCATGTTATGTCTGCCCTGCTTTTGTGTATCCTTTTATGTCCCACCTTTGTCTTCAGCGGTGCTGCTCTCCTCTTTTTTCCATTGCATCCTAACACCCCTGCGAGGTAGGCCAGGCGGGGAGGGTGTGACTTTCTCAAGGTCACCCAGCCAGGCTTCCGTGGCGCTCAGTGGGGATTTGAACCTGGGACTCCCAGATCTTCGTTTGACACTCCGACCCCTGCCCCCGGGGGCTGCTTGAGAGAGAGAGAGAGAGAGGAGACCCTCTTCTTGGTCTGCTCAGGGGTGGTGGTGGTGGGAGAAGCCAGTTCCGTTGGGTTGGGAGTCGGTGGTCTCCTTTTCTCCTTATGCGATGGAGCGGTCCTGAGGGGTCCTGCAATTATGGCGTTTGCAGGGTAATCTGCACATGCTCAGAGGCACTCTTCCGCCTTGGTGACGGGTCTGATGCTGGCAAGCAAGACACACACACACACACACACGGTTCGCTGCACAGAGGACAAGATGTACAGTGACCCGCCTGGAAGTTGTGTCATGGCCAATTGGTTGATGGGGGGGGGGGTATTATGGCTTGGGTTTGGGGGGGGGGGCTTGGGTGTCGTCTCTTTTTTTTGGGGGTTTTTGCGGGGGGGGGGGGGGAGGAGGAGTCGGTTTGGGCTGGTTGGGATTCTCCCGCTTGCTTGTCCAGGGTGGGGAAGGGGACCCTGCAGTGTGCCGAATGGCAACGAAGGAAGGTGAATAGCAGAAGAGCCCTGCTGGATCGGGCCAGCGATCCCTCGAGTCCAATGTGGCTGGCCCGTTGCTTTGGAAATCCAACAGCAGGGCCTTTCCTCCCCTCGTGTGGCCTCCTGGCCCTGGGATTCAGAGGTTTGCTGCCTGCGAACATGGAGGTTCCCTTTCGTCGCCACGGATGGCCCTCCACTCTGCGAAAGTGACTTGTCCCCTCTCCAAATGAAGTTGCTGATCTTTTTTAATTGAGGAAAGGACGAGAGAGCAGCAAGTTCTCTCTGTGCCTGGTTGTCGCAGCTGGTGTTTTGCTCTCCCCCCCCCCCAGCAGGAAGAGGGGCACGACTGCCTCCAAAGCTTTCGACCCCCGAACTAGACACTTGCATATCCTGCAAGTCACCCGAGTACGCCTGGGCTGTAACCAGTGTTCCTTCTGAACTGAGTTCGTGTGAGCTAGCTCACAGTTTTTAGCCTCCGGCTCACACAGTTTTGCCCTAGCTCAGGAAGGAGGGCCCCAGAGTGAACTGATTTATGCAGGAGCCAAACTGCTCGCTCACAACGTTCGTGCCGGCAGCTGGCAAAGGAGAATTTTTTGCTCACCAGACTCCACGGCTCAGAGGGAACACTGGCTGTAACTTGGTCTGATCCAGGAAAAGCGGAGGAGGTGTCATTTATGTTGATCGATGTGCAACTGGATTGGGAAGCGTCTGAGCCCCGTTCATTTCAGGCCTCCAGCTATCCAGATTAGTCCTCCTTTTTGCAAGGCTCTGGGCCGGGTCCCCCCCCCCCTAATTTCCTGATCCGTGTCTCACCACTCCCAGAAAGCTCAGGTCTCTGTTCCTTACAGTGCCTGTTCCTTGCGGAACAGCCTGGGCTCAGCCAGCGTTCTGTTTATACCCAAACAGTCGGGCTTGGACAGTGACAGCCTCAGCTGCCTTCCACCAGTTCCAGCATGACTCACAAAGGCCGCATCTGCCGTCCCCGTGACCTTGGTGAGGATTCTCAGGAGCCGGAGCTTTGAATCGCAGGGGCCGTGGCTCGTTTTTGAAGGACGGGGTGTGTAGGTGCCGTTCTCGGCATCTCCGGGAAAACAGGAATGCGTTACAGTATTGCAGCCGTGATGGCTGCAGGAGATGGGATTGATGCGCCCAAGAAGAGGGCTGCTCCAATTGAGTCTTCCGTTTTTCAGTGCTTTGAGTCAAAAGCAAGTGTGCTCATGGGGGGGTGGGGACGGCGGAGCAAGCAGGGCCACATTATGCTGTATCTGAACCTTGACCTCTCTGTGTTGTGGGCTGTATGTCAGAGGAACTGCGTTAAATAGGAAAGGGTGAAAGGTGAAGTGGTCAGAACACGTGAAGCTGACTTAGCACTGAATCAGGCCATTGGATCCTCCGATCTGGGAGAACCGGGTTTGACTCCCTGCTCTTCTACATGCAGCTGCTGGTGTGACCTTGGGTCAATCACAAGTTCTCTCAGAGCTGTTCTCTCCAGGGCAGTCCTCGAGAGAGAGCTCTCTCAGCCGCAGCGGCCTCACAGGGCTGTCTGTTGTGGGGAGGGGAAGGGAAAGGAGATTGTAAGTTGCTCTGCGACTCCTTCAGGAGGGAAGGAGGAGGAGGATGGATTTATACCCCGCCCTTCACTACTCGAAGGAGTCTCAGAGCGGCTTACAAACTCCTTTCCCTTCCCCTCCCCAGAACAGACACCCTCCTGTGAGGTAGGTGGGGCTGAGAGAGCTCTTGACAGAAACTGCTCTTTTTCAAGGACAGCTCTGACAGAACTACAGCTTGCCCAAGGTCATTCAGCAGGTGCAAGTGGAGGAGTCGGGAATCAAACCCGGTTCTCCCAGATTAGAGTCCAGATTAGAACCACTACACCAAACTGGCCAAAAGACTATAAGAGAAGCCAATATTGGATCAGGCCAATGGCCAATCTCACACAGTGACCAGAAACAGCAGGGGCCATCTGGAGGTCCAGCAGTGGGGCCAGGACACTAGAAGCCCTCCCACTGTTGCCTCCCTTCCAAGCACCAAGAATACAGAGCATCCCTTGCCCCAGACCGAGAGTTCCTATCTATACCTTGTGGCCAATAGCCACTGATGGACCTCTGCTCCATATGCTTATCTGATTCCCTTTTGCAGCCGTTCATGCTTGTAGCCGCCGCCGCCTGTGGCAGTGAAGGGCGGAGTAGAAATCCAATCTCCTCTTTTTCTGCTGCCTGGTCCTTTTAACTGGAGGTATGCTGGGATTGAACCTGGGACCTTCTGCATGTCAAGAAGATGCACCGAGCCATTGCCCTTGGCCATAGAAGAGAAGATGCTAGACAGATGTAATTTCTTTCTTTTAAGGACATACAAAGAGCCCTGCTGGATCAGACCCAGTGGTCTATCTGGTCCAGCGTTCTGTCTCACGCAGGGGCCAACCAGTTCCTCTGGAGGTGATGTTAAAAAAAAGCAATAGCAGGTTACCGGGTTCAGGTGGCACGCACCCAAGGGGGCTTAACTCAGATGTGGAATTGTTGATCTCGTTGAGTATGATATTGAGCTAAGACTGGCCTTCCTAGCAGACGGTCGCACTGACTGACGACCTCCGGAGGCATCTGGATCAAGGCGGTGTGGCGGCACTGTTGTTGTTAGACCTGTCGGCCGCTTTTGATACCGCCGACCACCAGTTGCTGGCCCACCACCATGCCGATGTGGGGATTCAGGGGCTTGCCCTTCAATGGCTGGTCTCTTTTCTCCAAGGTCGGGGACAGAGGGTGGCGATAGGGGATCAGCGGTCCCGGAGGTGGTCCCTTGAATGTGGCGTACCTCAGGGGGCAGTGCTATCCCCGATGTTGTTTAACATCTACATGCGCCCCCTTGCCCAGATTGCCCGGAGTTGTGGGCTGGGGTGTCATCAATATGCTGATGACAACCATCTATATCTGATGTTGGGCGGCCAGTCAGATTCCACTCCCGATGACCTTAGTTGGGCGTTACAGGCCGTGGCTGGCTGAGTCGGATCGGTCCGGGGTTGGGACTCCCTCTCCCGACCTTCGACGGGGCGCCTCTGGTGCCGGCGTCGGAGGTTAGGAGTTTGGGGGTGCTCCTGGACTCCTCGTTAACGATGGAGGCCCAGGTAGCAGCCACTGCCAAGTCGGCATTTTACCACCTTCGGCTGGCACGGCAGTTGGTTCCCTTCCTCGACCGGGATGACCTAGCCACTGTGATCCACGCGACGGTCACCTCGAGGCTAAACTACTGTAACACTCTCTACATGGGGCTGCCTTTGTCGCAAATTCGGAAGCTGCAACTAGTGCAGAATGCTGCAGCCAGGCTGTTGATGGATCTTCCTAGACGAGATCACATCCAGCCTGTGCTGAAAGCGCTGCACTGGTTGCCAATAGCGTACCGGGTTCGCTTCAAAGTGCTGGTTCTTACCTTTAAAGCCCTATATGGCCAGGGACCAGCCTACTTAAGGGACCGCCTTTCCCCACATGTTCCCCCAAGAGCACTACGGTCGGGGAATCAGAACTTACTGGACGTGCCAGGTCCCCGGGTCATCAAACTCGTCATGACCAGGAACAGGGCGTTTTCGGTGGCGGCTCCTATCTGGTGGAACGAGCTCCCAGAGGAGATCAGGGCTCTGCGGGACCTAGCACAGTTCCGCAGAGCCTGCAAGACGGAGCTCTTCCGCCAGGCGTTCGAATAGGAGCCGCCATCGCCATTGTACCACCAACGCCCCAGGATTTCTGTACAGGGTCACCATGATGCGGGCACTTTGGATGAGAATGGGACGTTTTAGGAGACGGCCATCTTTGTTTTTTAGGAGAGGAGCACCAAAATTTGTTTATGACTGTGATGCGTTTTAATATTTTTAATGTTTTTATTGTTCTATTGTATGACTTGGCGATATGCCGTGTAAGCCGCCCTGAGCCTCCGGGGAGGGCGGGATAAAAATGTAAATAATAAATAAATAACAAAGGCAACGTCAAGTGTTCCAGTGGAAATCCATGCCATTTCCAGTCAATTACTGATCGAAACTGTGAGAAAGCATGCAATTATTAAGAGAAACGAAGAAGGAAGGAACGGCTAAGCCTCCGTAAAGGGACGTTCTGCCTCACCAGTCGGCCTGCGAAAGGGTTAACAGACATGTGAGCGTGACTGAGCTGGCAGATCTCATGCACTTGGACTTCCCAAAACGCTGCTGACAGAGCCTTCTAGGAAGGGGTTCCTGCGTAAACTTTGTAGCCCTGGGATAAGACTACGTGACGTTACTGTGGATTTTCTAAATTACCAACCATTTTGTGGAGCCAGTTTGGCGTTGTGGTGAAGTGCGTGGTCTCTGATCTGGGAGAACCGGGTTTGATTCCCCCACTCCTCCAAATGCAGCCAGCTGGGTGACCTTGGGCCAGTCACAAGCTCTCTCAGAGCTGTTCTCTCAGGAGCAGTCCTCGAGAGAGCTCTCTCGGCCCCACCTACCTCACAGGGTGTGTCTGTTATGGGGAGGGGCAGGGAAAGGACTTTGTGAGACTCCTTCAGGTAATGACGGGTGGGGTATAAATCCAATCTCTTCCTCTTCTTTTTCTTCTTGTTGCGGTGGGTGCCGCTCGCTGGGTCTTCCTTGTGTTAGCCCCCTAGAACTGGTTTTCCCGGAAGCGCCAGCCAACACCCACCCCTGTGCCCTGTGTTTTGTCCGCAGGGGCTTCCTCGGCCGCGACGACATCGGCATCATCCTCATCAACCAGTTCGTGGCGGAGATGATCCGGCACGCCATCGACGCGCACACCAAGTCCATCCCGGCCGTGCTGGAGATACCCTCCAAGGAGCACCCCTACGACGCCTCCAAGGACTCCATCTTGCGCCGGGCCAAGGGCATGTTCTCCGCGGAGGACTTGCGATAGGCGTAGAGCAGGCGGTGCGCTTCGGATCGGCGGCAGCGGCCGCATCTCCGCTGTCCCCCGGAGACATTGTGTCTGCCCTCCCCATGACGTATCCCTTCGATAGTTTGCTGTCATTATGACCCTTTTGACTGTGCTGTAAGGACGGGGGGTTCTTCCGCCTGGACGCCTGCCGCCCTAAGGATTTCATCGGCCTCTTTCTGCTACAGTCCTGCCGTTTGGCATTGTTCGTTTTGCTTCTGTTGCGTCTTCCACAGGCAGAGGGGGAGCATTGTGTTCATTCCGTGCTCCCCGTCCGCTCCAGTCGGCCGCAGCAACTGAACCCCGCAAACCCCCCCCCCCAATCTTGGCCTCCCGTCGCTGAGACTGGGTAGAGCTGGCTCGTTGCCATGTTCTGCCATGAGCCCGAGGCACATCTTGTAACGCACGTTTGTTTCCTAAGGAAGTGGTCTTTCACAACAGGGCGACTCTGTATCCCTCCGTTCCGAAGTCCCGCTGCCTTGTGCTTGGTGTGGTGGTTCGTGGTGTACGCCCCCTCCCGTCTGTCTTGTGTTGCAAAGTTTATGACGACGAATTAAACCAAATGACACAGTTTGAGCTTCTGTTTTTATGACAAGGGGGGGTCATGTCTGTCAAGAGGGGCTGTGGCTCAGTGGCAGAGCCTCTGCTTGGCATGCAGAAGGTCCTAGGATCCATCCCCAGCATCTCCAGTGAAAAGCATCAGGTGGTAGGTGATGGGAAAGACCTCTAATCTGAGACCCTGGAGAGCTGTAGAGAGGGGGCGTGGCTCAGTGGTAGAACATCTGCTTGGCATGCAGAAGATCCTAGAATCCATCCCCAGCATCTCCAGTTAAAAGGACCAGGTAGTAGGTGATGTGAAAGAACTCTCATATGAAGGCAGCTTCCTATGTAAACACTGGGGAGAGGCCGTGGGTCAGTGGCAGAAAAGGTTATGTCTCACAAAACAAGAACTCGTGGGCACTCCATGAAATTGCTGAGC